CCGCAATGAGGAATGAAAGACATTGTGTTAAATAGTGAAAAAATTTGAAGTTGCAATTTGATATTTATGTAGATGATTTTTACTTAAAAATATAAACTGAACTAAATTCATGTATAAGTAAATAGTAGCGTTACTGTAGTCTTATGTGTATTGATAGGTACTACGTTTATATTTTACTAGCTGTTGCCCGCGACTTCGTCCGCGTAGTTTAATGACTTCTGACAGAATTAACCAGAATCAATTCAGTGCCCAAGTAAGATTTACCTATTTAGAAATGATTTATCGTAGTTTCAATAAATAAATAATCCCGCAGGGATCTTACCAGTACAGTGCCCGATCACGTAAGGTTTGAGTAATAAAAACTATTCTATCGACTATTGTTGTACCGAATCTCTCTAGAATAAGTTCAGTGGTTAAGAGTTAGAGAGTCCTGGGGCATTGACGCATAGTTCTCGTGAGACATCTGTGAAAAAACTATCATACGTTACCCAGGTCCTAAATCATTGCCTACGTCATAACATCTATCTGTATGCCAAATTTTAGCCCAATCTGTCCAGCGGTTTGGGCTGTGCGTTGATAGATCACTATGTCAGTCAGTCAATCACCTTTGAATTTTATATATATAGATCACATTTTGCAACCAAACTGCTGAAAATTTCTACAAACCTGACGTCTCTTTACTCGATCAAATACTTCAAAACCTTTTACTTCAGTAAATATGTTTAAAATAACGTGAATTATTCGCTTTGTTGATTACCTAAGCACTTCAAAACTGCATATTATTAAGTAAAACTTAAGCAAACTCTAGCCATTTCAAATTCCAATGTTCAAAAAAGCATGAAAATTAGAAATTTTTTATTCTTGACAGAGATAGACGACAAGCATTTTATAAAATAATATATTTACTTATTATATACAAATATAGATGCTATTTGATAAGGATATTTTCGTTGTAAATTTGCACATCCCATTTGTGAAAGAGTTCAATAGCCAAGTACAAGCATTTAGCGCAAGATTCTAAGAAAATCACGTAACTTGTTAATCAATACTAATTATTAGCTTTTCAGAGCTATTGAGTCATTGTTGGGTTTTTACACTCCGTACTGAAATTCATGATTGAAATATTATAAATATCTGTTGCATCATTGTACACACATACAAATGCACACCTATACACCATGGGGTATGGGGAAATTACGTATTTGTGTCCGGGAAACATATACAAGACTGCACGGTTGGTGCGGTGGCTGGGCTTGTGTGATTCACAAATTGTTGTTTCGGGTCTGGCTGTTATTGTGTGCGTGAACTTGTATGTTTGTAAACGCACCCACGACACAGGAGAAAATCCTAGTGTGGGACATCGTTTTAAAAAAAAATACATTTGTTTCTAGGGAAGGTTCGGATAGAGGGTGAAAATAATTAAATCATTTGCTAACTTTATCCAAAAACAAAACGACAGTATGCAAGGCATGAAGTATCAATTTCCAGTACCCGACAATACTATAAAGTATAGTAGGTAAAAAAAAAACAAAATGACTCTTTGAAAACTGGAATCGTAACTTGTACCGAGAAACAAGTGAAATTCGACCTCTATGGTGTTTAAGGAGTAATTTAAGGTTTTTTTTTTAAATGAAGGTGTATGTAATTGAGGGCATTTACCCATTGAAGTAACGGGGCGGGAAGGATCTTCATGTTGGACGGACGTTCAACTTTAAAGGAGGCGTATGACATGATTTTTTGTAACACACGACAATGTCACCATTCTACTTTTTATAAACATTAAAGTGACAGCATGACGAGCAAGATGTCGTATGTTTTTAAGATAATAAGATTATAAATGGTTCGAAGATCCGGCTTTTGTATGTAAGAATCGCATCATCGTTTGTTTGACAGCATTCTGATTGAGATATGTTTGTACAATTGAAGTTATTGGCTAAGAATTTATTGATAAGTACTTTTGTATATACGTCTGTATAGAGGTACATAGGTGCATGCATACATTTATTTCTATGAATAATCATAGTTTATAAATATTTATATTTAAGGCATGATAAAAAATGGTTTCTAACAAAAACAACTAGGTTTTAAAAAAAATATCTGTAGTGGCAATAGGTTCACCCCCTATTACATGGGACTCATAACATAAATAGTGAAAAGTGAGTGTTACATTGTACAATGGCAAAATGTGCACCTCTGCCCGACCATTCGGGGATAAAAGGTAAAGTTATGTTACGATAAAAATACGATGAATTATTTAAGATTTATAAATATAGTAAGTAAACATTTAATTTTTCTAACATACCGTTGGTTAGACACTTAAACTTACTAACACACTTATTGACAGGTCAATGTCTAAATCACGGAATAAGTTCACAGCAACACGAAAAATTCGACAATAAATCTTTAGTGAAATTGTTTTAATCGCTTTTTTATGCGAAACAGAAAGTTATTGGTCAATAATGTTTATTTATTGTTTTGTTTTATTTATATGAAGTGACAGTTAAGTGATTTAAATTATTAGGTGTCATTCCAATAGTCATTGAATTAACATAATTATAGTATAACATCTATAATGGCGTCGAAGAATTTGTTTTTATTTAAAAATATTTGAAACTGTTGCCTTGAGAAACAAATTTTGGACCTGATAGCTCAATTCTAAGTTCACCGTATAATAGATCAAAAATAGACATATCGGTGAAACTACGCTAGAAAGTAGAGAAATATATTGTTATTATTGGGAATGTATAAAATCTGCAAATAACATAAACCAATCTAGCTAATGGTTTTAACCTCACGATCAAGTAATAAAAAAGTTATAAACATAACATCACGCCTTTTATCCCCAAAGGGGTAGGCAGAGGTGCACATTACGACACTTAATGCCACTGTACAATGTAACACCCACTTTTCACT